GCCCTGCGTCCCCTCCCCCGCTGGCGGGGCCCGGACAGAAGATGGTGCAGAAGAAAACAGCCGAACTTCAGGGCTTCCATCGTTCGTTCAAGGTGAGGGCTGGGTTGGTTTGGTGGGCGCCGCGGGCTGGACTACCTGAGTGGCCGGTGGGAGGGGCGCGGAGCTCGCCCTCAGGATCCCCCAAGCCTGGTGCCGGTCCCCCGCGTTGGTCTCGGCCTTGGGGCTGCCCCAGCCGTGCGTGCGCCCACAGTCCAGGCTGATGGGCCCCGAGGTCTCAGGTCTTCCCTCCAGGAACCCTAGGTGGGTCGAGGCGCCCTTGTCCCTGGGGCCCTTGGTTGTGTGTCCCCTGCAAACCTCAGCCAGGTGTCTAGTGCTGGGTGGGGCGTCAGTCGGCTACAGGCCTGTCCCCAGCACCGTGAGGTCTGTGAGGTCCTTCCTCCAGAAAGGCCAGGCACGGTTGCAGGTTCTTCCCCCGACAAACACCCCTCCCAAGTGGCCTGCAGAGTAGGGGTGTGTGTGGATCGGATGACCCCCAGACGTGCACCTCCCAGGCCCAAGTCCTGTTTCCTGTCAGAATGGGAAGTCTCTAAGGGGGCCCCAAGGCTTCCGAGTTCTAGTCTCAGATGAGCAAGTCTAGGGGGATTTGGCAGGTGCCGGGCCGGGCCGGGCCCCATGCGGCCTGGCCCAGGGGAGGCAGTGATGTCAGCAGCCACCCCACCCGCCTGCTGAGTTATGTAATGGCTTTCCTGGGCCTCCTTGGGCAGGAACCTGTTGCCCTGCAGAGGAGGCAGGACCTGGGTGTGTGTGTGTGTGTGTGTGTGTGTGTGTACAGGCAAGTCAGACACCAGTGTGGGAGGAGCCAGCCTGGTGTGTTTGGGTTAGAATTCCCAGGCCTGTCCAGCCAGCATTCACCTGCCAGCGCCCCACCCGGTGCACACTCCTGGCACCCTAGCTTCCACTCCCGGATAGTGACAGCGTTGGCATGTCCCCCAAGTGGCCAGGGCTGGGCGGAAGGGTGGTAGACCCAAGATGTTACTGGCGGTGGTCTGTTAACTCCTGGGACTGTGTCTGAGCTCAGACAGGGTCAGTGGGCAGGGCCAGCTCTGCGGTCAAAGCATACTCAAACTTTCTGGATGGTTCCAGCTGCCTCCTGCCAAGGCCTGCTGACTAAAGGCCCGCAGCCAGCCCTGGGCCTGGCCCGCCTACACTGCCTAGGCCTGAAGGCTGGTCTTTGCAGGCCACCCAGGAGCTGTGCATGCCCTGTGCTGAGGGGGGACTGTGGGAGTCCCAAGGGAGGGAGTGGGGACATGGGACAGGGAATCTTGGCTCTAAAGTGGCCCTCCAGGGTCCAGCTCTTCTGAATTGGGGTCTGGGAGAGATGTATGGGATTGCTGAGGAGACCCAGGTTTGGTCCCTTTGGGTCTTAGAGCCTTTACTTGATTGTTGGGGGCAGCTTCCTGACGTCCACTCTCCATCCTAATCACCCCCTTTTGTGGCCACCCTGGAGCCACTCCTTCCAGGTGGAAGGACGGAGACTTATCAGAGCATTGATTGCAGTCCTCATGGGAGCCAAACTCCTCAATGGGCAAGGACAGGGACTGGTGGGTGAGCATCAGCAGGCTGGCTTCAGTGCTCCCTTCCTCCTTCCTCCCCTGCACCTCCTAGCAACTATCTGCAGGGTGGATAGGGAGGCTAGGAGGGCCGGCCTGTTTTTCAGCTGCTCTTTCTGACCTCTGCCTGCACCCTCTGCAGCTGGCCTGGCTTCCGGGCCTCCTGTCTGTAGGAATCTGGCCTGGCAGAGTGGGCCCCTCCAGGTCTTCCTGGGGTTCTCCTGGAGTTTCTTTTCTGTTGGATAATTCTCCTGTCATAACCCCAACCCCAGCTGTCACAGGGCCCATAGAAGGGCAATGACTTGGCTCAGGTCACCCAGCATTGGCCATAGCACCACAATTATGTATACAGGCTCCTTCTATGCCCACCAGGGCCCAGGCTGCCTGGTCCATCAGGATGTTGGAAGCTAATTAGAACTAACTTCTAAAGGAACCTGGCCAGGTCTCAGTGTCCCTCAGCCTTTATTGGAGGGACTGTCAGCCTTCATACAAAATCTTTTGCTCTGCAGAAATGGCATTTATCGTAACAGCCTTCCGTTTGCCCCATAGGCGATTTCTCCAATCCCTGGCATGCCTGTCGTCTTTGGGCAGGATATAGTACCCTCTCCCCAGTTTTGGGGGCCATCCAGTGACATTGAGCGGGCCCCACTTTAACAGGGCTGGTTTCTTCACTGGGTACTAGGCTTGTGGGGCTCACTCCTGGGGGTCTCTGTGGGTGAACAGGACAGTGCAGGCTGTGGCCCAGGCAGAGAACAGCCCAGTGTTCATGCTGGAGCCCATGGATAGCTTTCCTGTAAGCCTCTGGGGGATTGGTGAGACAGGAGAAAGAGCAGCATAAAGCAGGGAGGGTGATGGCACCCCTTGACACAGGAAGGGCTGAGCCCACAAGGCCGTGGGAAAGCAGGCAGGGCAACTAGCGGGGAGCCCCGCCCTAGAGCTCGTGACTCACCCCCCACTGACTGCTCTTTGCCTTTGATCTCCCGACTGCTGTCCCCATTCTGCAGGTGAACAAACCAAGGTGCCACAGTAACTTGCACCCCCTCCTCCCTGCACAGCTACACCCTAACCTTGGTGGCCCCAAGGGCCCTGGCTGGGGGTAGAAGGGCTATTTCTTCATTGGTCAGGCGAAGCCCCGCTTTCTCCCCCTTGGCATATGTACACAGGGCTGGGTCACTCTGTAAAGGGGCCGTTCTGGCAGCATTACAGCCTGAGAGCTCTCTCTTCTCTACTACAGGGGCAGAATCCTTTCGAGCTGGCCTTCTCCCTAGAACAGGCCCACCCCGGGGAGACTGACTTCAGCCTGGAGTGCCCAGCCCGCCCTGGTGAGGGGCCTGGAAGGGAGGGGACTGTGGGTGAGGGCCAGGTGGGGCCTGAGAGCCACAGAGGCCAAGTGGGCCTCATGCCTGGGTCTCATGCAGATATGCCCACGAGCCAGCCCATTGACATCCCAGACGCCAAGAAGAGGGGCAAGAAGAAGAAGCGGTGTCGGGCAACTGACAGCTTCTCAGGCAGGTTCGAAGGTGAGTGGGGAGGGCAGGGCTGGGGATAGGGGAAGTGACTAGGTCGCCCAGGACAGCTCTCACTGCCATCTCTGCTCTCCAGATGTCTACCAGCTACAGGAGGATGTGCTTGGGGAGGGCGCCCATGCCCGTGTGCAGACCTGCATCAATCTCATCACCAACCAGGAGTATGCGGTCAAGGTAAGCACAACACCCTCACCTGTCCCCTCACCTCACGCCAGCAATGCCTGAGATCTGGCATTCAAGCTCCTGGACTCAAAGCTGGGGAAAGCCAGTGTCTAAAAATGACCCCCAGAATCCAGGTCAGCCTGGGCTGAGCCCCCAAGGCCAGGCAGAGGTGGGTCGTGACCATGAAGTTTGGCCCCTAATGCAGGTGGCCGCGGACCTGGTGCCAGAGTGACCATTGAGAGTGGGATGGGGGTTGAGAGGGCTTTGGTCAAAGCTAATGTTCACCTGCTGGGTTACTTCAGGCTGGTCCCCAGGCATAACTAGTGCTTTACCCATATTGGTTACTAGGATTAAAAAGCAACGCCATACTTAGGGCCCAGGGGTCTTAGCATTTAGGGAGACCAGGGCAGAGCCTCCTTCATGCCCATGTGGCCTCTGACCCAGGGTCCAGCCTGGGAACTGTGGCCCTGTGACCTCTGTTGTCTGGCTAGACCGTTGAACCCTGCATTCCAAGAAACCTTCCAGGCTCCTCTCGTGACCCTGCATCTGAGCTAGGTGGGCTCACAGGAGGCTGGCTGCCCAGGCAGGGAGGTCAGGTACTCCCTGGCAGGCCAGCTGACCAGATGCTTCAGGCCCTGGTGGAAGTCCAGGGACAAAGGCAGCTGTGTCCCTGCCCCCTGGAAGCTCCCAGGTGGAGTGGGGGTGATGGTGCGGGAGAATTGGACACTAAGAATGGAGCACCTTCTGAATACCTGGTGTGTCTCTGAGTAGCCTTCTCCTAAGGACCTGCTGGGCAGCCTGGTTTACTGTCACTCTTTGACAAGTAGGGAAATTGAGGCTCTGAGTCACACTGTGTCTGACCTCCCAGAAGGCCATCTCCCTCTCCTGAGGGACTGCAGTATTCTCTATGAAGTGGGGTCCTAGCCAGATTCCCAAGGGACAGGATGAGTTTCAGTTATTGTAGAAGGATGTGGCTGGTGGCTTTGTCTCTAGAGGCCCTGGAATATGTTTTTTCTGTCCCTCTTCGGGACAGGTGTGTTTGTCACTAGTCAGGTGGGCATGCATAGGCCCAGGACTTGGAGGTCAGTGGACTTGTGTGCCTGCCTGCTGCAGGAGCCTGGCCTGTGGAACATACTACATTCCCTTCCTCCAGGCCACTGTGATGCGCAGGAAGCCCCGGGCGTAGGTGGTGACCCCGCCTGTCCACTCACCCAGCAAAGGGGGCCGAGGCACCTGCTAACTCCACCTCTCTCTGAGCAACGTTGCTGGGGGGCATTTGGGGATGGGCCCAGAACTCTCTAATTCTTAGAGCTCCTGCGTGCCAGAAAGGATTGGGGACGTTGGTGTGTGTTGGCTTCCTGTGGCTCTGGGGTCTGGGAAGCTGTGTCTGCTGGTGGGCGGGGGGGCCAGTCTGGGCTGGCCTGAAACACCCAGGCTCATGGGGTCACAGACATCTACCCAGACTGGGTTGGAACTGGGGAGGCAGGACTTGGTGCAGAAGCAAGTGGATATGGCATGGCTGGCAGCCAGGTGCCTAAGGTCCCGCTAGTCCCCTGGATAGTGTGGGAGTCAGCATGGTGGCCACCAGTCTCCTGGTCATGAAGGGGAGGTTGCTTAGTTCAAGGGAACCTGACATTGTGAAGGGGTATTTTGCTGGACCCAAGGCTCCAAATATATCTCTGAGGCTTTTTTCCATCAGGAGTGGATAGGGCTGGCTCCTTCTCCCTGCCTTTCCTGTCCCACTCACTCCTCTCTTGGTGCCGCTTGGGAAATACGTTGCCCACCACTTGTGCTGATGCTGCAGTTCTGACTGGCAGATTCTGGGTTCCCATAGGAGAACTCAGCCACCTTTCTAGATCCTAATGGTCTAAAGCTTTAACAGTTTCAGGTGTAGTGCAGGGAAAGTTTCTGGTGGAGGCCCCTTGGGCTGGGGAAAGTCTGGCTGACCCAGCTGCTGTGTCTCCCCACCCCCACACGTTTCAGATCATCGAGAAGCAGCCGGGCCACATTCGGAGTAGGGTTTTCCGAGAGGTGGAGATGCTGTATCAGTGCCAGGGACACAGGTAATGTGACCCACCCTCAGCCCCGAGCCATCTTTTAGTGGATGAATGGGCCTGAATGTCTCTTTACCCCCAGTGAGCATTTAAGGCAGGGGTGGGGAACCTTTTATCTGCGAAGGGCCATTTGGCTAATTATAACATCATTCATGGGCCATACAAATTTATCAACTTAAAAATTAACCTGCTGCCTGGCTGGTGTGGCTCAGTGGCTGGGCATTGAACCGTGAACCAAGAGGTCATCGGTTCGATTCCCTGTTAAGGGCGCATGCCCAGTTTTCGGGCTCCATCCCCAGTAGGTAGGGGCATGCAGGAAGCAGCCAGTCAGTGTTTCTGTCTATCCCTCTCCTTTCCTCACTTTCTAAAATCAATAAACTATATTTTAAAAAACCTGCTATATTTGGTCAAACATTTAATTAATTCATCCCTAAAGCTTGGCAGGGCCAGACCAAATGATTTCATAGGCTTAAAAAGCCCGAGGGCTGGATGTTCCCCATCCTGATTTAGGGAGTTCCTACTGTGTCCCAGGCCGTTGTGAATGGACCCAGTGTTAGGCTGGCAGTCTGAGGTGGGCAAGATGGAAGCAGCCTGTGGGCCCAGTCCCAGCCTTCCTGTGGGCAGGTGGAGGTGTGTGTGTGTGTGTGTAGGGGGGGGTGTAGACCCTGAACTGGGCATGTACAAGGGCCTTAGGAAGTCTCACTCCTGTCCTACCCTCCTCCCCCATCCTAGGAATGTTCTAGAGCTGATTGAATTCTTCGAGGAGGAAGACCGATTCTACCTGGTGTTTGAGAAGATGCGGGGCGGTATGTGGGGCCTGGGAGACACATCCAGCTAGGTCCTAATGGGCTACGGGCTCAGAGCCACCTCGGAAGACCTATCAGGGGCCCGTACATCAGAGGAGGCTTGTGGGCTCTGAGCTTCCTGTCCACACAGCAGCTCGGGTCAAGGATTTTGGGTCCGAGGAGGCCAGAGTGGAGGCTTCCCTACCAGGTGGGAGTGGGTGCTGGGCAGTGGCCTGGGGACACAGGGGTTATTCTTACATGTTTTTTTTCTTCCACTATGACCTGGCCCCAGGCTCCATCCTAAGCCACATTCACAAGCGACGACACTTCAATGAGTTGGAGGCCAGCGTGGTGGTGCAGGACGTGGCCAGCGCCCTGGATTTCCTGCACAACAAAGGTGGCTGATGGGGGTGGCTGCTCAGGGTACCACCTACTTTTTGCTATCCTGCCAAAGATGCTTAGGTCCCATGGATGTCCAGCCGTGCCCCCAGTACAGCTGCCCAGGACTCCCTAAAGATACACCCATCCCACCACTGACTCCCTGATGTTTCTGCCCACAGGCATCGCCCACAGGGACCTAAAGTTGGAAAACATCCTCTGTGAGCATCCCAACCAGGTGAGGGACCCTGGGGGTTGGCCTTCCCTGCGGGACGGGCCCTGTGCAGGCTGGACAGGACCTCCAGCCACCTCACCTCATTTCACTGCTGCTTCCTAATCCCCTCCCAGGTCTCCCCCGTTAAGATCTGCGACTTTGACCTGGGCAGTGGCATCAAACTCAATGGGGACTGCTCCCCCATCTCCACCCCGGAGCTGCTAACCCCAGTGAGGACCCACGGGGTCAGGGGCGAGCTGGGAGGGGCGGGGGAAGGGGACAGGATTACATTCTGTCCAAAGAAGTGGTTTGGGACCTCCAGGAGAGATGTGGGGCAGCTTGTAGTCTCCGTGCTGGGGCCTTGAAACTCGGGATTTCGCTTAGCAACAGCCGCTGATTGGCCCTTCGGCTGTGATGGGGCGGGACCACGGTCAGGCAGGGAGGGGCGAGCTTCCAGCACCTGTTGATTGGGCAGGGCGGGGGTTGGGGCGGGGCTGTGGTCAGGTGGGGGCGGGCTGGCATCCGTCGTCAGCCTGTAATTGGCCGAACAGAGCTGTCAGTCACTGCGGCTCAGGCTCAGGTGACTGGGCAGTCCCTTGCCTCACATTACACTGGAAAGTCCCTGCCAGTGGCGTCCCCCTCCCCCATGGCATCTAGTCATCACCGTTCCCCCTCTTCCCCGCAGTGCGGCTCTGCAGAGTATATGGCCCCTGAGGTGGTGGAGGCCTTCAGCGAGGAGGCCAGCATCTATGACAAGCGCTGCGACCTCTGGAGCCTGGGTGTCATCCTCTACATCCTGCTCAGTGGCTACCCACCCTTTGTGGGCCACTGCGGCAGCGACTGCGGCTGGGACCGCGGTGAGGCTTGCCCGGCCTGCCAGGTGCGCACCCCCTGCCCTGTGCAATCCTTAGGGCCGGTCCTGAATATTGACTGCATCCACAGAGGAATGCTGGCCTGCCTGACCTTCCTGGGTTTCTCGGGGTGTAGGTCTCCTGCCTTTCAGCATAGAGCAGTTTGGTCAGGGAGCTGTGGTGGGGTGAGGCCTGTTTTCTATGCAGTATTTGAGGCTCAGGATTCATGTGTATCCTGGAGTCCTTAGGAGGTCGGCTCTCCTGACCTTTCTCTTTTTAAAAAAAAAATATATTTTTATTGATTTCAGAGAGGAAGGAAGAGGGGGAGAGAGAAAAACATCAATGATGAGAGAGAAACATTGATCGGCTGCCTCCTGCACGCCCCATACTGGGGATTGAGCCTGCAACCCGTGGGCCCTTGGCCGGAATCGAACCTGGGACCCTTCAGTCTGCAGGCCAATGCTCTATCCACCGAGCCAAACCGGCTAGGCCCCCCCAGACCTTTCTTTCTCTCCTTCCTTGGCCCCTTAGGGTTCCCCATCCTGCCAGCTGATCCCAGGGCCCAAGTTCCATCCCTGTCTGGGTAGTAGTCTGGGGTCCTTGCACCTGGTTCTTGGGCCACAGGTCAGGCCTGGGGCCCTGAGAGAGCCTGTCACTTAGTGTCCCAGCTCCCTTGGGGTCCAGGCTTGCCCATCAGAGATCAGGACCTGGGCCTCGGCCCTTTTGGCTGCAGCCAACCCCTCCTGCATGTGTTCCCCAGAACATGCTGTTCGAGAGCATACAAGAGGGCAAGTATGAGTTTCCAGAGAAGGACTGGGCCCACATCTCCTTCGCTGCCAAAGACCTCATCTCGAAGCTGCTGGTTCGAGACGCCAAGCAGAGGCTAAGTGCTGCCCAGGTCCTGCAGCACCCCTGGGTGCAGGGGGTGAGTGCCAGCCCCACTGGGGGCAGCCGGACATGGGGTCCTTGCCTCTGTCCAGTCTCCAATGGGCCAGGGCTGTGACTCTGAATAAGTGTTGGAGAACCCTTGGGGCCCAGGGTCAGGACTCCTTGTTGTGATGTGGGTCTGGAGGTCAGTCAGTTATCTTCTGGGCGCCCAGGCACAGTTATGAAATCTTCCCCATCTGCTGGTAGGAGCTTGGCAAATCCCTGGCCTGTGCCCTAGAGGCAATGGGATCACTTCCTGCCTGGCACAGAGCAGCAAGCTCAACTCAGCCACAGGGCAGACGGGTGGGTGGCCAGCCTCGGACAGGGCTCCATCCCCTCCGATCCCAGAAGAGCCTGGTGTTTGTCCTTGCCAGTGGTCATCCAAGCTGGGGCCACCAGGGTAGAGGGCCCTGTGGGGAGAAAGGACTGCTTGCTCAAGGTAGCCAGTAGAGGGGGCTCTGAACTGCTGGGAATATGAGGAGACCCATGGATCGAGAAGGGAAAGGGGCTGGGCTGGGAATGGTTAGGCGGGGTGGTTGGTGAGCAGGCAGGCCTGGGGAGCCACTGGCACCCCCACCACAGGCACCTGGGCTGCAGCATCCTGTTTGCCCCAGCTTCCAGGCAGGTGTTCCCCTTAACCCTTATTGGTGTCAGAGCCATGGGGGACCTGGGAGGGTTGGCCCTGGGCAGGATGGATGAGCCTGGCTGTGTTCTCTAGACCCGCTTCTCTGGTCTCCTTGCAGTGCGCCCCAGAGAACACCCTGCCCACGCCCATGGTTCTGCAGAGGTGAGGCCTGCATGGGGTCTCGGGTTGGAGAGGGGAGGTTAAAAGTTAAGGTGTTTAAAAAATGCAAAATAAGTTCTCTTTAAGTTGTAAGGGAAGCCATTCAAGAACTGGGTGACCTTGTAGGGCTGGTGGATTAGGTCCCAGGCCAGGGGGCGGGGGAGCTTGGGGCCATAGCCCCTCCTCCAGGGCACTGCACAGACCCTGTGGTCCTAAGGGAAGCAGAGGGTATACCTGGCAGCCACCTCTCCTTCCTTGGTGACTGTCCCGTCTTGTCCCCAGGAACAGCTGTGCCAAAGACCTCACATCCTTCGCAGCTGAGGCCATCGCCATGAACCGGCAGCTGGCCCAGCGCGAGGAGGATGCGTTGGAGGAGGTGGGGCAGGGCCAGCCCGTGGTCATCCGAGCTACCTCACGCTACCTGCATCTGTCCCCACCATCCCAGTCCAAGCTGGCCCAGCGGCGGCAGCGAGCCAGCCTCTCTGCAGCCCCCGTGGTCCTGGTGGGGGACCATGCATGACCCCTCCCTTCTGCTGTACATAGGTCACCCCCTCCCCCATCAGATCTCAAGATTTTTTTTAAGCTATTGCCAGCCAGTGACCAGCAGGCTGTGCAACACCCCCCACTCCCACCCCCCCTTGGGTTCTGAGGTGCTGTGCTCAGCTCAGCTCAGCTGGGGGGTATCTTTTTATATAAAGTTTTTGCTGTTGGGTTTTCCTTTTTTTTTCTGTCCCCCACCCCCATTTTTTTCCTTTGAATGGTGTTAAAAGTAAACAGGCACCCTGGAGAAGAGCAGAGGGCACATGTGCTGCGCATGCCCCCACCCTGCCACCCTGGCCGTACAGGCTCAGCTGTACTGTGAAAGGCCTTGTGCCCATGGTCCCTGCCCAATGTGACTCAGGAGAGGAGGACATTTGCTGTCTTCCAGAGCTGGGGGACCCGGGAACACACCTGCGCCCCTCCCCCTCCCCTGCCCTTAGTGTTCTCAAGGCCAGACTAACCCTGCACCTCCTTTCACCCGAAAGGCACCCTGGTGGCCAGGGGAGTCCTGGGTGTGGGCAGGTGGAGTGAACAGCCACCCACATGGACCCCACCCCACCCCTAACTGAGAACCTTAAGTTGCAGCTGATGGGGAAAGGCTGCACCCATTACCACTACTCCCCACCCTCTCCACTGGGGACTCTGTCTACCTGGGGCAGGGGGAAGGGGCACTGGAGGAATGGGAGGGGCTGGACTGGCACTCGTCAGCCAACATGGGGGACCCGTAGATCTCCCACCCCGGGCACCCCAGTGCCCCTTCTCAGGGCTCAGTCTGACCATGGCCACGTCCTGCCCCCTGTCGACCCTTGAGTTGACACGGAAGCTCTGCCAGCCCTGTCTCCTCCCCTCCGTAGAGCCAGGGCTGACCCAGGTTCCCGATGAATCCCCCACCCGAAAGGCAGCATTCCTGCTCTGCCCACCTTTAGGGGAATGGCCTCCCTCAGGCACCCAGGAACCTCCCTGTCCTTCCCACCTCCCCACCCCAGAGTCCAGGTCAGATGTCTAGTGACTTGCTGGGCTCAAGGAGACTCTGACTCCCCTCTTTGTCCTTAGGTGGGAAACACTATGCAATACAAGCTTTCTCTTCCTTCAGGCACGTGTTTCTGCCAGTGGGCGGCCCCCCAGCCCTCTTCAGGGCAGCTCGGCCTGGGCTCTGGCTGGGTCTTTCAGGCAGGCCAGCTGGAGAGCCCTCTGGCATCTAGTTTTCATCCTGTTTCATTAGTATTTTAAGAACATCAGTTGACTTCCCTTTCCTGTTCTTGAAGAATACTTGAATGTCAGGGGGCCTTGGGGTTGGGGGTCTCAGACACTGCCTCCCCCAAGTCTTGTACAATGGTTGCAGTCTGGGGGCTGATGCCTGCCTGGCCATCTGAATCTGTGGACCGGCCTTTCCAAAGACCCCAGGGTGGGTGGCCACCCCCACCTCCATCATTTCTGGCCCATTAGTGATTCCAGGTATCACGACTGGGAGTTCTGCCTTTCTGTAAAAGAACTGGGCCTCGCTGGCTACAGGCGGTGTGGTCAGTTCAGTCTGGAAAGCTGACTGTGAGCAGCATTTTCTTCTCAAAGGTGGGGCAGCTACTTACTTTCCCCCCATCACATCTCCAGTGCAACCGGGAGGCTGGCCAGAACCGTCACTGTGAATGAGGGCCTGGGCCCCAGGGAGTCCCAGGCTGTGAGGCTGCTCTGGTGCTGAGGGAAGGGGGAATGGCAGTGTTTCCATGTTAATATAGAAAAAAAAGACAATTTTCTTTTAAAGTGGGGGAAAGACATCCAAGCACTTTAACTCCACTGTACCAGGTAAACTGATACAGCTCAAAAGTTTTCCTTGACACCAACTGTCAATGCCGGAATTTTGTATTCTGTTTTGTAAGGATTTAATAAAACTCTTAAAAACTCATTCTGGTTTTCTGTTGCTGCATAACAAGCTGCCCCAGACCTCGTGGCCTTAGCCATTCAGTGACAGTGGTGCTGTGACCTAGGAGTTGGGACAGGGCATGTGGGGTTGGCTTGTCTGGGGATCTGTGAGGGTGGGGACAGGCTGTCCTTGAGTGACCCACCCGTGTTGGCCCCGGGAGCCCTCTGTGACAGGCTCTCGCTGGGCATCATGTTCGAGGCTCATCCGCATTCGTGCCTGCGCTTTAATGCTGTTCAGGGCCGAGTAAAGCTCCAGTGTCCGGATGGAGCACATTGTGTTTATTCATCTGTCCGTGCTACCAGGTTTGGCCACAGTGAACCGTGCTGCTATGGACAGGTGCACAGGTTTTCATTTGTGGAAACAGATGGAAGACATTTCACATGTGGATGTGTTCATTTCTCCGGGGTGGACACACGGAAGGGATGTGAGCAGGGCAGAGACCTGATCCCACGTGGAGTGTGGATGGGGCCAGAAGGACCCAATAAACCATTGTCACCCTCAAAGCCAGTCAGATGAGGGATGACAAGCCTGGTGGGGGCGGTGCCCAGTAGACCACACAATGGCAAACACCAGGCATGGTGAGGAGGTGACCGGCCAGCATCTGGGGACAGCCTGGACGCGGGGTGAGAAGGGGGCGTTCTGGGCTGTCTGGAGAGAAGGCAGCCTGGCAAGGTACGGGCACTAGGGATCCCTGCGACATGAGGTGCAGTAGGTCACCCCTCCTGTGGAGACACCTGAGATCAGCAGGTGGCACACCTTGTACTTGGCCCTTCAGTAGGAAACCTGGACACTCTTGAGCCTGTGCCCTGCCCCCTGCATTTATTTGCTCAGCTACCTCCTAGACAGGGGTCCTCAAACTACGGCCCGCGGGCCACATGCGGCCCGCCGAAAACATTTATCCTGCCCGCCGCGTGTTTTTTCCGCCGCTGCCTGTCCTGCTTAGCAGCCGACTCGTCCCGGGCCCGCAGTGCGCATGTGTGGAATGTCTGAGGGACAGTGAACTGGCCCCCTGTTTAAAAAGTTTGAGGACCCCTGGGATAGAGCGTCGGCCTGTGAACTGAAGGATCCTGGGTTTGATTCCGGTCAGGGGCACATGCCCGAGTTGTGGGCTCGATCCCCAGTGTGCCAGCCCCAACAGGCCATGCCAATGACCGCTCCCTGCCCCCTGACGCCTGCCAAGTCCTGCAGCCAGGCACAGCCTGTTCTCTGAGCCTCTGCTGTGCGTTGTATTTTGGTGGTTTCTTCTCGGTAGATCCCGCCCTTCCACCTCTCTTTCGGGAGCAGCAGGAAAATCCCGGAACTGGAGCCCCTGGGAGCCTTTCCCAGGCTGGTGACTGGCTGCCCTGGTGCCTGGGCCCAGGCTCCACCTGGTAAATGGAGACGCCAGCTTGGGCTCCCCAGCTGCCCCCAGGCACTGGCCTCACAGGTCCCTGCACAGAACCGTCAAAATCACATCTGTGACGGGAAGCTGCCCCACACTCCCCTTGACAGGACAGTGGCAATGCTGATGTTCGATGCTAATAATAGGAGGAACAGGGGGCTATGGGAACTATTTGCACTAATGGCACAGTTTTCCTGGAAACCTAAAGCTTTTTTTAGCCCTTGTTCAAGATACCTGTCATAACTGAGAAGGACTTGAGAGATAAGACCGTGATCCAGAGCTCAGCCCCAGACCTGGTCTGGAGGAGGCGAGGGCCTCATCTGCTGCTTTTTGCAGGATATTGCCCTGGAACTTGAGTCGGGGACCTGCTTTTGGGAAGAAAACACGACCAGCGGAGTCGCACTTCTCTGTTCTCTGGATTTTGTCTGACCTCAGGCAGTCTGGAGATTGGAAGGAGCCCTACCCATTGGAGCCTTTCTCTATAAGACAAGACAATATACAACTGGGAGTCCAGAGAGCAGCCCCGACCAGGTGCAGAGCTGGGGTTTTAAAGGCTGAAACCACATCCTGATAGACAACTGTGCAGAGCAAGCAACAACATGCCCTCCATGTTTGAGAAAATTACCAAGAAATTGGTCAAAGAGCTCGGAGACCGACAGCTCAGACCTGTCAAATGCTTGGTGAGTGCCACCAAGATACACCAGTTTTCTCTAATACAGAGGAAGAAGGCTCGCTCTCAGTTTTGGCAACTACCCGATGAACCACTTGATGTCTCCCTCATGCACATCCTGGAACCAGGTTCTTCGGTCCCAGACGCTGCTGTGGAAGTGCCTGCCGCCTTCAGTTACACCGTGGTCAGGAAGCAGCAGGCGGCTGGGAGCGTGAATGCTGGGGCAGAAGTGGGCATCTCAGGGGAGACTGCTGTGTGCCCAGAGTGCTCCCTCCAGTACCGGATCGTTAGCACCCCACATGAAACCTGGACAGAGCTTCAGAAGAGGAAACTGCCGGACACAGAGCCGGCCTTCCTGAAGCAGTGCCGGGAAGCAGGGGTGAACCTGTATGTTGTGACCGACACCGTGGAGCTGGTCAAGAGCCCTGTGCTGCAGGATTTTAGCAGCAAGAAGATCTCAGGGAAATTCTCCAACCCTCTGGAGATTTGGGTCAAGGGTAAAGCAGAGGCAGAGGTGACCAAAATGAGAGAGAAGCAGCTGACTGTGCCGAAGGGCTCGGTGCTGGCCTATAGGAGGAAGCAGCTGGTTTTCTGCAGCAGAGGCTGGGACATTCTTTACACCGCAGATGACGGTGATCGGGAAACCTTTCCAGCAGGCCGCAGATACATGGCACATGATGAAGAGCAAGGCGTTTCAGTATGTCACATGATACCTCCAAAGGATTTCATGATGCTACAAGAGGAGGTTTCCCAGAAGGTAGAAGCGGC